GCACTCATTAGGTTGGTGAAGATATCCTTGAGCCATCCAAAGTTGAACTAAATCATCCTTTTCAATGATGAAATCCTTTGGAAATATTGAACAATAGGAGAAGCATTTCTTCAAAGGTGGAAGCAAACGATCAAAACTTATTTTTAGTATAGATAAAATCCCGTTCCCATCTTCTAAATTTGAATTCCATGCATCATTATCTCTGATAGCTTCCCACTCACTTGTTTGACTTTCACGACTCAATGTTCCTCCAATAATAGTAGCAGCCAATGGCAAGCCCCCACACTTCTTGGCAATTTCCACCCCAATATTTTTCAAATTCGAAGAAATTGAAGTTTGTTTGGATGAAGTGAGAATTGCCTCTTCAATTATTAACCAGCAGTCATCATCTGACAACTTATGCATTTCATGAATTTGCATAGAATTCTGCATAAGATTCATCTTCATCATCATAGATGCTACCCCTTCATCACGAGTTGTCACCACAATAGAATTTCTAGTTGTCTTCAGAATTCTTGAGAGACGATTACTAAAAGCATTCCACCTCGATTGATCTTTGTTCCACACGTCATCAAGAACGAGAAGAAAAGTCTTCTTCTCTAACTCCTTTGCAAGATCTTTAACCAGTACATTGATGCTGCTTGGAGGGACACCACCCTTAATAAAATGTTCATGCATCTCTTTCAAAATTGTTTCCTCATTGAAGTCGTCGACAGAGACACACACCCAGGCTACTAGATCATAGCGCTTTTCTTCCTCTGCCTTCTTGTATATTGATCTTGCTACTGTTGTCTTCCCAAGGCCCCCCATGCCAACTATTGAAACGCCAGACACTAGATACTGTTTCTCCCTCAAGTCATCCAGCATGTCAAGAATTCTCTCAACATCATCTCCCCTTCCAAAAACTTTTGAATCACCAAGCAGGGAGTCTGTCTTGGGTAATTGCGTGGCTGTTGGATGAAATTCACGTGACTCCAGATTAAGTACACGTGCGCGCTCCTTTAATTCATCAAAGCGCATATTAATATCTTTTATTTTGTCAACAATATCAGAAGTGAATGAACTCTTTTTCCTCTTCTTCTCCCCAAGAGTCTCAACACGGCAGCGAAGATGCTCATAATCACACTCATCCAGCACATCCTCAACGTCATAAGCTAGTCTTTGGAGTTGTTGTAACCAAAGCCTTACAGGGTCATCACTTTCTTTTCCCTGTTTTTGCTCTGCATCATTGATCATAGACTGGATAATCTTGAGGGAGTCTCTAAGGTTCGTCAGCTGCGCCTCGTGATCAGAAGAATTTGAAGCTGTCCACCATCTAGAAGCACGTGAAATCACTTCGTCAGCCAACCCATCTATAATACGGGGGAGGATGAAGTCGGTGACAAAGTCAAGTATCATGCTTGGAGACAGAGAAAGATCGAGCAAGCAACTGAATTCTGAGACAAAGGAAAACCAGAAAAGTGTTGTAAGACGCAAGAAGAAGGAAAGAAAGAAAGGAAAAAAAAGAAAAAGAAAAGAGGAAGTGTTTTCCCAAATATTGAATTATTTGTTATTATGTTTCCATCTTGTGAGTTTTCTCTTTCTCCTTAATCACCGCTCTCTCTTACACAGAAAATCAAATACTGCTACACCTGATCCTATTAACCATAGGAACACCCTTCAAATTCATGAACAAT